GCCTGTCTTTTGACCATCTGCTTGTTATTTTGACTACGAATCTGGATTTGCCTGCATACATCTGTTTGCCCCCGTGTTGACAGTTGCTTGCCTGACCATTCGGCTAAATAAACCTGCATTTCGATCCGCACCTCAGTTGTCAGTGTCACTTCACTTCACATTACAATTATGCATTAACCAGAAAAAAAATGTAAAGTCTGTTGAAGCCCACCATTCCATGTCTATGCAAAATTTAGCATTTTAACAAACAGTAGACCTACACATAGGCCTAATATTATGATTGTTGTTGTTTTACCATATGTTTAAGAATAACAATAATAACAGGCTTCTCATATTAACCTTTATTTTACATCTACAGAATTGTGAGAAAATTGTGATTTTGACTTAAGCAAAAAAATATATATATATTTGTGATTCTCATTTTAGCCAAAACCGGGCAGCTCTAGCAGAAGTGCATTTTAAAAACGAAACATGCAGGTTGTTGTTACTAGATATAAAAGTTCTCCGTGAGAGACACAGTTTACACCCCGCTTGGCTCATGTTCTTAAAATCCATTACCAGCGTTTCATTCTTCACACTTCTTTTATAGTTCTTCATACTCTGTGATTATGAGTAGGAAAGAACAGGATGTTTTGACAGCACTGAAAAAGCTAATAAAAACATCAAAACCAATTTTGACAGTCATTGTGTGTGATTCAATTAGAAGTACTTTAGATCAATACATTCTGATAATTAATCGAGAAGCTATTAAGAATCGTTTCATAAGATTTCATATGTGAATAGATATGAAAAGCCAGGAAGTAATTTTGCCCGTTAAAGAGAAGATAACTGCATATCATCAGTTTCGTGCTTATGTTAACTGTAATTAAAACGGATTGTGTGATTTTGCCTGTGGCGAGGAACTGGTTTTATGAAAGACAGAGAGTGCATGTTTTGCTCAGAGCGGGGTTTCTCTCATCGGGGAGTGAGAAAAGGAAGAACCAGAATGATTACAAAAAGCTTTGAGTGGTGAGAGGAAATCCTGCAAGTCTACCTGTGCCACAGGGTTGCTTATATATCAAACAGCAGTCAGTCACAAATAATATTACTACATTTTTTTGTTGGCATCTTCAGGGTCATTTGTAATTATATTAGAAGATGCTTTGAAAAATGAGGAAAACAAAAACATGAAAGGCCAAAGTTATTGGATAGCCTCATGCTTTTACAAAGTGGATTAGATCAGCATGTTAGTCCCTCTTCTGCATATTTAGTGTAAGGTTGTGTGTGGTTAGAATTAACCACTCAGCTTCTGTCTGGAACTGATGCCATGCTAATCCCCTATTTGGCTCATCACACAACCAGTCCTTCTCACCCTCCAATACTTTCAATTGTATTATGCACACAGTATACTTGAATGTTCTTGACCATATACAGCTGTCAATTTTATGCAGTTTCAACTTATGATTAACTGTCAATCAAACAATTATTGAGTTAAAAGGCTCATGCCATTTAAGAGTATGATAATTCAATAATCAATGTGAGAACACGCAGTATGTCAATTTAACTATAAAATCAATTTATCGCTCAGTTCTAATATATATATATATATATATATATATATATTTTTTTTTTTTTTTTTTTTTTAGATGTTTTACAATGATTATAGCTATGAATTCATAATAAGACTTCTGCTCATCTCTCTCTGACAAGTTTAAAAAGCAACAAACCCATATGGGAGACTACATTTCTTTCTGTAACCAAGAAAAATGTTCAGAATTATGTTTATGAGAAAACAAACCAAACTCAAAGTACTACAGAGCAGTCAACAACCTTCCATCTATGTGTGAATTTACCACATCCTGTAGAGGTTTTCTTTTAGCATCCATGTGACCAAATAAAACATGGTTGAGGAGTGTTGACTATAGTCATATTGGCAGTTGATTATATAGGGGAGCATCACACTATTATACTGAGAAACCCCTTGCCATTACATTTTATATTCATCTTAGGGCTACATGATACTGAAAAAATTGTACATTGCGATCATTTTTTTATATGCAATATATATTGTGATATGAGTACGATTTCACCTAATGAGTTGAAAAACTGGAAATAATTTATAAGTGTAGATTGATAATTCAGTGCATAAAATATAACAAACAATCTACAGCATAGATAAATTCAATAAAGAAAAATATGCAAACAAACTAAAAAGCCTTTTATTGTTTTCTGAAGAGTTCCAAATGTATTCATGTATACAGTGATTGAATAATCAAATGTAACATAACCCTGCGTAGTCTTTGTTTTACAAACAATTCAATAAAATGTATTTTTATTTATTTATTTATCAAAAGTTACAACTGGTACATTGTCATATGTCTAAATGCTTTTAAAACCCCTCACACAGTCACAGGCCTCAAAAAACACTTGCAAAATGGTCAACTATAATTCAGACTTAACATTGCGTATACTCACGATGTGACTATTGCGAATGATCACATTGCCATATCGATGCTGAAACGATATATTGTGCAGCCTTAATTCTTATACTTAAATGGACAGGGGAAAAAAAATGCACACGACTCAGTATGCATTACAACAGAGAACATACAGCATCATGAGTTTATTAAAAGATTGCGCTGTCTCACTGTAGGTTCTGTATTGCTCCTTGTCCAAAATAGATAGGAAAGGCAATAACCACATTGTGTGAAACAGTTCACATCAGGAATCTGCCTTAGGAAATGGAGAGTGTAGTTCTATATCACATTACTCTCTAAGCAACAGTGTGTCGGACTGCTGGGGTCACAGAGGCTTGAGAGAAGGCCTCATGAACCTTGAATTCATCAGCTTAATATCTGCCAGCATAACCCTAACCTTAAACCTAAACCAAAATACATCATAGCTCATGAATTATAATGGGAAGTAATTTGATAACCGTGTCGATGCATGTTTATATGTACTTCAAGTCAAGCAGAGTTAAAATAAGCATAAAAGAGAAGGTGGAGAATGTTGGCTCTTCACAAATAATAATCTGTGTTTATTTACACATGCTGCCTGCATTGTTTTACCGCTACTGTATATATCAGATAAGCAAGCACATGCTGATATACTGCAAACTAAAGTGGAGCAAGTGTTTAGCATTGGCCTCTGAGTGTGTGTGTGTGTGTGTGTGGTGGGGGGGATTAGCTCCAAGCCAAACACATGACTCCCAACCTTTCAACACAAAGCCACCAATCAAAATGCACATGACAGAGAACTGAGAACAAATATCTGAGAATGAGAATGCTCATTCAGTCATGCTTTGCCATTTCTCATAGTTCCTCTTTTACTGTAAATCTGTATTCCAAAATGTTATCCTTTGCTAGCATTATATTGTTTGTTTAGAACTGAGTGCTAATAAAATCCTGTAAAACTAACAGCTCACAGCAAACAATTTGACAAAATCTGCAGCTAAATTAAACCTAAACCATCCCCATTACTTCACTGCGTGTTCATATATTAGTAGAACCACCATAAAAGCACATCAGAGTGTTTCTATTCTGCCATCAGGCTGCTACTGGCAACAAACTGCTATTATGAAGAAGGAACATAGTCTGTCCATGTGGACCAATAAAATCCCTGGTCTGGGAAAAATAAAAACATGTGTCGCTGAATCACCAGAATTAATCATATTTTGGGATAATACAATTCCATCATTGATCTGACCTATAGGACAAAATAAGCCACATACAATTATTCACAGCTGTCCAGTGACTAATGACCAAAGAGTTAAACATTTCAGGATGACGAGAAAACAAACAAACAACAGAAGTTACTGAATGTACTAATATTTGTGAAATTTCATAGTGATTTTTACATACATGTTTAAACAAATACATATTACCAATTTTTATTTAATTTTATATATATTATAATATAAATATTATATATACTATAATATATGCATATAATTTGAGTGAATAATGATAAAATCAAGTCTTTCATATTTCTTTTGTCATGAAGTTTGAGGAAAAGAGCTTTATCTGGCATAATGAGAGGTTTGAGAATGAATTTTAATCATAGCTTTCATCCACTGAGGAATTTGAATAAGGTGGGACCATTTAATGGTTACTCTCTGAATAATCTCCCTTGCTCAGACCCCTACTTTACATGCCACTTCAACCTTTTAATCAATAATCTGATTCCCTAAGCCTCTTACATAGCTGACATTCACCTCCTCAAATGGACCTTATTGGCTAATTATTGTACCTAGGGCCATTTTAGTGCTAAATTGCAACCGGCTTTCCTCTCAGCTGGCTGTTTTGCATGAGCTGAAAGAGCTCACTTCATGAGAGGATTAAAATGGACACGTGGCACTAAAATATTTCTGTTGGCATGCTGGCTAAGCTATTGTATGTTATACAGTCTGTTGTGAGATGTGGTCAATGCGGCCCTGCAGCCGGCATCTACTTATGTGTGCCCCTCTGTTGACAACTGCATCACAAAACAGTCGTGAAACCAATTATTCAATGACGGCTTTTCCTGGAAAATCTGCAGTAGGCGACAATGGCTTTAGCATAGTGGCAAACGCAAAAAGATTCCACTTCACAACAAGAGAGCCTCTTTGAGCCTTGTTGTTTGTCCAGTTCATTGCACCATGAGTAGGCTTGACCCTCCTCTCCCACGGATAGTCTCTGTGTAATCTATAAAGCTATTGAGCTCTGACTTTGAAACTCTTTTTTTCCTACTGTTCTCACTGCACTCAACTGTAACAGCCTCGAGAGAAACACAAGAGGCTAAGATTTCACCAACAAGCTCAGGAAACTCCTGAGTAACAGCATCCTAATTCAAACCAGCAGGGCTAAAGCACTTAGACAGAAAAACATGATACAACTTAAATTCTGGTCCAAGAAAGGCAAGCAATACTAATCGTTGTTATCTGTCCACCTTGTAGAAATGAAATGTCAAAACCTTTGCCACTCATGTACATTTGTTGTTTTAAGAGCGTAACTGTAACTTATTTGTGGGTAAACAAGACTCACCTGCAGCTCACACCAGGCAACTTCCACCCAGGTTTCCGTGTCCAGGCCTTTGTAAACAGTTTTAAATGCTCCTCTGCCAAGCTCGATGTCAAATTTTAGAAAGCGTCCACCAGGCGAAGTGGCAACGGCCTTCATCTCAGCCTCTTCTTCCTGTTCTCTATCTCTCTCCTTCCCTTTCAGGGTGGGCACAGAAATGCCAGCCTTATCAGGATCCTGTGTGCCCTGAGTGCCATCTTCACCCAAGGCAGCCGAGGCACTGGTGGGTAACTGCTGGGCTCCGCTGGTGAACACGGAGTCGGAGGCACAAAACTCGAGGTGAGGGGCGCTATGCGGGGCGTCTGGGATATCATCCACCTCATCATCTTCTTCGCAGATCTCTACACTCTTCCGAAAAAAGCGTTTGTTCTCCCGTTTCCGGCAAGGTTCGTGGGTCGCTGGGGAGGAGGGCATGACGAAGGTCAGAGGTCTGACCGTTGCCTCCGTTTCTTTACAGTCCTCCACTCCGCCTCCTCCTCCTCCTGCTCCCCATGCTCTTCTTTCCTGGCTCTGGGAGGAGGGTAAGTCAGATGGAGTGCTGTGCACCCTCTCTCTCTCACGGGCGGCCCTGTTCCCCTGGTCACTCTCCTCCTCCCTCTCTCCATCAGGTTTCTCTCCAGAGGACTCCTCCGTGGCAGTGGGCTCTCCTGGGTCTGTCGCCATGGCGATTGACCTTTCCCACTCCTCGTCCTCCTCCGCCGCCGCCCCCTCCTGCACTCTGGCTCTCTGTCTGTCCCCGTCTCTCTCTCTCAGTGATCACCCTCTCACCCTCTTATGAAGTTCCTCAGGCGTTCTTCCAGTGTTGCCAGCTGTCAGCGACAGGAATCACTCGCTCTTTTCTGTGGCACTTATACTCCACGAGCCCTTGAGTTCACAGGAGTATCAGAGAATGTGTGTATTGTTAAGAGTATCCGTGTAGGTCACTTCAGCTTTTGCTGTGTACTTTTCTTATCTCCATTTCCTACCAACAGTTTCTTGTGGCTAGCTCAGCGGTGACTGATTCACAGGTTAATGACCTTTGGTGAGTGAGGGGAGATTTTCAGGTGTATCCTATAGAAGAAAAACACAGGGGAGCATTATTGAGGTTCATTCTAGCCATCTTGATTTCACAATCACACTCAAAAAAATCAACTAGGCATGTATTGGATTCACAAAATAAAAATTTGTCAGATTGAAAAGAACAAATCAAGTTTACGTATGTTAAATGATTAATTCATGCTATTTGAAACTGAATCAAGAAATAATCAAATGAATTTGATCAGAACATGTTGATTCAATGAGACTGAGACGCTTCAAATCGACAACTCTCACTCTGGAGAGTCACTTCGCGCATATTAGTAGGTGGCGGTAGTGCGTTTGGATGTCACCATACGAAAACAACAAGAAGAAGTATCACCGCGTGTTTTCGGCACAGTTTGGGAATTGGTTTTCCCAAGAGCTTGAATGTTATGCATGTTATGTTGTTGGCTATATGTTTCCTATACATTTTATACTTTTACATTTTGAATAGGAGTACCAAAGTGAAGAAAGCTGTTTAAACTCAATTGGTAAAAAAAAATGATGTTAACGTCCTACAGGTATTGCTTGGGGATCAGTTTTCTTAAGAGTCAAGGTTATTTTGTTGGCTAAATGTTTCTTATACATTTTATATTACATATTACAATTTTGGATATTATATAACATTTTGTATCAGAATATTAAAGAAGAAATTTGCTTAAATGTGATTGGTGCCTGCTAAAGGCTATAAAAAAAAAAAAAAATATATATATATATATATATATATATATATATATATATATATATAAATAACATGTAATAAGTAAAAAAAAATCTATAGTAACAAATCGATTTACTGTAGGTATGTCTAATTCTGGCTAAAATGAGAATCCCGATTTTTGTTGCTTAAATTAAAATTATGATTTTCTCATGATTCTGTAGATGTAATAAAAATGTTAATATAAGAAAGCTCTTATTATTGTTATTTCTCAAAAATGGTAAAAACAAACAATGATAATATTAGCTCTATGTGTAGGTCTACTGTTGGTTAAAATGCTAAATTTTGTATAGAGTTGGAATGGTGGACTTGAACAGACTTTAAAATGTCTTGGTCGTTAATGCCAATAAATGTGATTACATCAGAACACAACTATTCATAATTCTGGAGTTGAATTATTATGTTTGAGACATATGCTTGTCATTTGCCATTGACAACACTATTAGACTATTTTTCCACTGCTAAAATGAGACCGTTGTCATTATCAGATTCAACTTTTGTATTATATTCAACATCATATAGGCTACAGTAATTATATAGACCCAGTTAACATTTATTTTTATGCACAACACTTTGTGTTCGCTATGAAAAAAAAAAAACAGATCAAAAGCTTGTTGTAATCATAACTCTAAAAAGCGATATGATCATTTCAATGATGTGTGTGGTTTTGGTTTCACTTTTACTGCCGAGGGCGCTCGTATCATGGCTGCCGTCACTAAAAAAAAAACATACATGCACAGGGCTCGAAATTAACCTCTCTGCTTGGTAGCACCGGTTCTCCTAACTTTAAAAATGTAGGCGCATCAGCCAAAATTTAGTCGCACCAATTTTAAGCACCGTTTTATACAAACATATTTATTGCATTTGAAATAGGGTTGTAACGGTATGAATTTTTTACGGTATGATAATCGTCTAAAACAATACCACGGTTTGACGGTTTCGCGGTATACGGTATTAAATAGTAATTCTCATAGCAAAGACCCTGAAAAGAATAAGAACACGTTTTCTGACTGAACAAAGGTTTTATTTCAACAAACTTTTGAAAGAACCATTTTAATAGAACTACAGAAGTCTTTTATAAAAATAAACTGAAAAATCTCCCATTTTAATAAATTAAATTAGAAGGAATAAACAAGCAAGGTCTTTTAAGATTAGACAAAAATAAACTTAAACTGTCCTTCCTTATTAGCACGATAAATGGGAGACCAAATGTGCAATACCAAGTTTATGGCTGTAAACATGTATTTAAAGCGTTGTTTTTTTCAGTCTAGGTTGTGATGAAGAAATGTAAGCATGTTGAGATTTTCAGGACTTAATCTTGACCGCTGAGGTGAGAGAATGTGTCCACTTGTACAATGAACAAATAAAAAAATAATAAATAATGTGTCATAGTCCAAATAAACATGGTGCAAATCCTCAGTAAAAAAATAGATATAAATATTTACTATACTATAAATAGTTACATAACGAAACTAGATTCAATATGGAACATCCTTAGGTTTTATGTGCCAGCATGGATATGGTTGTCTGTGGATATGGTATGCAATGCAGACAAACAGCTGCACCTTCATTTGTGTCTTTTGAAAACAGCAAGAGCAGCAGTTCGTCTTTGCTGTGTCACTGTTTTGTCATGTTTCTGTGCTGCTGTGCATGCAAAAATACTTAGTATGAGAATTATTTCATGCAAAAATTTTTTTTATTTTGCGTTTTATTTAGCCGCGCAGAAATGTATGCCTATCTCTCATTCCGTGTTGTTCAAAAAGCTCAGTGTTGGTCCACAAACAAAAGTGAAACCTATGCTTATTGGTTGTGATATAGCGAGTTTGAACCAATCTGGGCATGGAGGAGGGACAATGCATCAATGTATCATGTCTGGTTTGTCCGGAGACACAGTGACGAGCGTTTCTTTGTCAAATCAGCGTTGTCAAATTTTGATGACGTAACCGCACTGATTCCGGAGCCTCTGAAAGTCCGCGTTGTTATGTGATACAGCACTGGAAAGCTGAGATTCTCTTCTTTATGCCAATCTTTGAATTGTATGAATAGGATCAGCGGATCAAAAGTTATTAAACATTTAAGAGCAATACTTATTTTTAGCCGCGGGCGGCTGTCTCGGTCTTTAAGGGTTAAAACCGTTGATATGCAATTGTTCATGGTATGATAATCGTGCACGTTCAAATCGTGGTAAACCGTCATACCGGTATATTGTTACAACCCTAATTTGAAATCAACCGTAATCAAACTAACAAGCAAAAAAATATATATGCAAGTGAGGAAAATATGTCTCAACAAAATCCTGTTTTCACAAGAAAATAGATTTTTATAACATAACTCAGAGACTAAACAATACACGAAGCGCTTACTGGCCCTGCACGCACTGCTTGACATGAATGAGTCTGTTAACGGTTTAACTGTGGTGTTGTCACGGGTGCTGTCTGATATTGCACTGATGCTTTTGACATATACTGAACCTTATAATATGCATACGTCATGTTAATAGCAATACCGGTCTTTTTATGAGTAACAATGTTAGTTTACTCAGTGCAAACCCGTCTGCGATGGTGTACGTGGTGTTAAATTTGACAAAGCTGCCACTTGCATAGTGGACAGCATCTGGCGATTAAATGAAGGATTAAACTGAACCTTTCATGCTAGATGTCTTAAACAGTTACCTGAAAATTCCATCCCACAGACTTTTTGTAGCGGACTGGATTAACATTCAGCACATGGTCAGTAGTAAGATGTGTCATCATTTGTAACTTCAGATGACATGGTTTCTGTCTGTGTTATCTTCATTCTCATCTTCAGCGCTTTACATTTTCACGGTAGTAGCTCTCCCTGTCATTTCAAGCCAGAAGGCGCTGACTGAGTGATTGACAGCTGATATTCAGTGCTAGAGCAGTTGTGGGCCAATAAGAAGAGCGCGAAGGCGGGGCAAGCATTACGGACTTGGCTTTGTTAACTGCAGCAAGTTGACATGACAACTGTTTTAAACCATTCCTGAGCGCAGCGTTTCGCGTTTCAAGTGCAGACAAAGAGCTTAGAGATGCATTCTACGTGAATGTCTCCCGAATCCGCATATGTGGTGAACATTTTGCATTAAAAACTGGTCGCACACATGCTCCCAAATATATTTTGAGGTCGCGTAGATAAAATTTTGGGCGCAAATGGTCCTGATGCATATCATACTTCCCACGTGGCTCCCAAACGATCGTTCTGTGCAACAAACTGAACGTTTTTTTACAACTTTATTACCGATTATTCCAGCCTATGCAGATTGTGTTCACTAAAGTAGACATCATTCGCGCAAATGTGTTCTCTCAGTAGTAAACAGTGCGTCAGCTTATGTGCGATTTGGCGGCCACAAATACATCATTACATGAAGACAAAAATACCTTACAAATACAATTGCAAATACAGTATGTGACACTTAACACCATTTGGAGGTGTTCATGTTGCTGAGCAACGTATAAAAAACAATGAAGACTTGTGCCACTGCCTTTATGCTTCTGCCAAACTTGAAATAGAATTGGCTAAATCATAGAGATGCTGGATTAAGATCGTGTGGGAGGTCGAATCGAGATCACAATCTTATTCCGTTTAATCTTGCAGCCCTAATTTACTTTCACTTTTGATCTACTCATAAATTCCTTGCAGAATGAATACATTAACTACTGCATTAAGATGACTTTTGATTATAACACCTTTGGAAAAACATAATCTGTTCCTGTTCATAAACTGTCATCAAAAACTCTTTAAATGTACATATTGTCAATGGCACTTAAAACAACTTGTGTGAACGCAAAAATCCATTAAAGTGATTAGTAGACCATCTATATTCTAAACAAGAGCCCTCAAACACAGAGGGAAGTAAATGACTAATCCAGTAATTAATTAAGCATTGCAGAAGCATGACGGGTACCTGGTGCATAACAAATCGAAAAGTGCCATTAAATATTAGCCATTAAAAATCTAAAGGAACTCAGCGGATTGTGATTGATTAATAATGAATGATGGCATAAAGGCCCTTTAGGGTTAAATTATTTAGAGGCACAGCAGATACAGACTGAGTGACCATCAAAGATCATCGCTAAGGGACCACGTGCAGTAAAAACAGATTATTAATTGTAGCCAACAGTATAGCCCCTGATGGGGAGCATTACTGTGTCTCATGTGTACACTGAGTGGATTTGCATTGTTCCTTTAGTAGTGTTCTCAGTGTATTCAGATACCGCAACACCTGACACGGCTTCTCACAAAATTCAATGGTTCTTTT